CCTGCAAGCCTGTTAAAATGACTAAGAAAGCCACTAGGGGGACATCCTGAGCTTCAGATTGGTTATTCATATCATATATAGAAGTGTATAAAAGGGTGCATTTCCAAAAATGGAAAGAGGTGAGCGGGATGCCACCATGTTTGATTTATTACGTGAGCAATATCTTAGCAAATAGAAAAGATAAGACCTTCTTATTTATTATTCTAGCTTGTCAATATCTGTAATTTGAGTTTCTAATTCGTTTGAAATTAGACTTAGTATTTTGACTTCACAAACATCTAATTTGAACCAGTGCTGCATTCAACATACCACATGACGGACAAAAATCTATCTTTATCTGTGTTTTTAATATTTACTTTTAATTAAGAAATTAAGTAATGTATAGTACTAAAATTTGAATTATAATCTACAGTTTGATACCAAAGTTATTTACAGAAATTCATGAAAGACTTTGAACGAGTACGAAGATGTTACATGGTCGGTCAAATTAATCACCTCGTGTTAACAGTAAATAAAACATTTTCTTAAAACAAAAATCATGCCATGTAGCAATTAACTGTTTGACTCCTGATAGGTCTCAAAATCATAAAACATGTATTTCAGAGAAGGATCTCCAACATATGAAATATACAATACGTTTTACAGGCTGCATGCATTTAAAATGTGCACTGATAAAACATAACAGTCTGTAATAACATCAATATGCTTATTGTGATACCAGAAGGAAATTTCATTGGGATAGTAATGATTTTTAAATAACACAATTCAAGTTATCTGATGGAAGAAAAAAAAACTTGGATATCTGGATGGTAATTAAACTTTAATATTTCTTAAGTACTTCTCAGACCTAAAGGAACCTCCCTTGCTTCTTACAGTTCCATCATCATCAGAATGCTCAAGACCTCAGGATGACTGAAAAGGAAACAAAAAAAAAGGTGTTCTTAATTATAGATTATTATAATAATATGAAAGTGTGAAAATATTACCATAATATGAAAACTTACCACTTGTCTAGCTGCATGATACGCTTGCTAGTCATTTCTACTTCTAGCCTGTCATTATACTCGGATGTTAGTCACGATGGGTGAAATTAATCAACTCAGAGCTGTGAACATGTTTTTCTCTCCATTTCACTGGGACTAATGGACAATGGCTCCAATTTCTATATAGAAATAATAAATATAGATGTATTCATTCCTATCTACAGCAGTAGTAGATAATACTTATCTTATCATTTGTAATTATTTATAAAAAAAGACTAGTGTATAAACCACTGTATTCTCAAAGCACCAGTAACTTATGAGAAACATGACTCACCACTGTCAAACTTAGTCAAGTTACAGAATTTTGAGAGCACTTTATTCTTATGTGGTATTAGTGTATGTGGTTTATAACAAACATATAATTAATAATTCCACTTCTAATTGTAAATGGTGTTTCTGGAAACATAGAAGATGCTACTCAGATGCTACTTTTTTTGTTGTTGTTAAAAAACCTATGTGGTAAGTGTTGTATACCTTTTATAGTTAGTATGACTTTCTTTTTTTGTTACAAAAAACAGATCTTGAAAAGATACATTTAACTGAAAACCACCTATAAAGATTATCATAGTGTGACATACCATAAGATGGTGTCATATTCTCATGATTTACATGTTAAGAAAAATTTTACATTTACACAATCTTTTGTTCAGAATAAATGGTTTCCTATAAAGTTTAATATATAGAACATAAGATCAAAGGTCATAAAGTGCTTAAGAATTGAAACAGAAGTATATAGATAACGAATGGCTGAAAAATACAATTTCAAACAGTTGTGGAGCCTATAAAAAAAACTTTTTCAATTGGAAATATTGTATTGTCTTTAATTAGTTTAATGCATATGATAATTTAGGTTACATTAACGTGAAATATAGTCCATTTCAGGACTATGTAAATTACAGGCTAAACTAGTATATGGAAAACCATATATGTAAACAATGAATTACACTCAACAAATAGTGAAACTGTACTAAAAAAAAAGCATAAGAATTCATGGCTTAAAAACTATCACCCAAACCTTTTGGGGATAAGTATATTTTTAAAAAACTGTTTGCAACCCTGATCCAGCTAGTTTATATTCTAAACTACCTTCACCAGAATCTACATAACTGTTAGGTAACAAATTATGTATTATAATTCATCATTTAAAATAGTTTATACATGTACAAAGATAGAAAACTAAAAAACAAGACGGAACTTTGGAGTCATAGCAGTAGACACAAATAAATAAATTTAATTTTTTAAGTGATATACAAATTATTTGGATAAGCCATGAATTACATTGGTTCATACACACATACATACATAATTAAATTACGCTTTTTTTTTGCAGTAAAAGATCAGAAGCGAACATTCAACACTAAGCTTTATGGCTCTTCAGTCCGCCCGTCCGCATTTTCATCATTTCTAAAATATTTATTTAAAAAAAATAATACAAACTTATAATTTGAACTGAACCAGTACCTCTTCTTCTCACCTTTTCTCAACTAATGGAGTAGCCATAGTGGTATCAATCTGGAAAAATGAAATACAGAATAACTCTAAAGTGCACATGAAACACACACTCATCTTTATTAAAACTGCACAATATATGAGGAATAAAATGATTTACATCATTTCAGTCTTTTATTTCCCATTTCATATAATTATGTGCCAGACATCTTTAATAGTTAAGGACATTCTAAGAACTTAAAAATTATCTCCCAAGCCCCTCTGGGGACAAGTAGAGTCAGCAACTGTATATACCTTAAGTAGAATATTACATATTCATTCAAAATAAACTTTGTACGCATACAAGGATAGACACTGGCACTTAAAAACCCCTGAATGAACTTTGGAGTTATGGCAGTGCACACGAATAATGTATAACAAGGTTTAACTTTAGTGAAACAAAGAATTTAGATAAACGATGAATTCATCTGGTTCAAAGACTTAAATAACTTTTTTTTTGCAGTAAAAGATCAGAAGCGAACATTCAACACTAAGCTTTACAGCTCTCAGTCCGCCCGTCCGCACTTTCATCATTTCTAAAACATTTATTACGAAATCACATTCATAATTTGAACTGAATAAAATATTTACCAGTATCTTTTTTTCTTTTTCTCTCGACTAACAAAGTAGCTATAGCTATGACGATCTGGAAAAGAAATATAAACTCAATGACTTCAAAATGCACATAAAACACATTGAAGACATTATTAAAGATTACACACGAGTCATTAGTGATAAAATAATCCACACTACTTAACCCTTTCAACCCAGGCTCAGTCCCTCTGTCCGACCTTGTAACCATTTTGCGCTTGTTATAGTTTTCATGCTATAACTTTTAAATTATTAAGCAAATGTTAACAAAATTTGGCAGTTTATCAGTAAACATTAAGATGCTTTCATACGCAAAGTACCTAATTTTTTATTTATTAAGTTTTAAGGTTTATAATGCAATGTTTATCTCAGTTTTTTTTTTCCTTCTTGCATGTTGCCTATCTATTGTGCAAAGTAATTTTCATTTTAAGATTAAAAATACTTTTATGCATCAGAAAATTTTGAAATTTCACACGCGAAATCTTTATAATGTCTGGATAGTTATCAAATGTTTCTTAAGAAAAACTTTATATTTTATATGTTATTTTCAGTAATTAATCTCTGGACTGGTTCGGTAAATTTGACTGATCTCACAACCACCATAAAAAATTAGGAAATAAAATATAAATTATGCCTCTTTCATTCGAGAATGAACACAAATTATAACACGAAATCATAAATGTTTAGACTAAATAGCCTAAATCTCATAACATTATACATTTATATAAATATTTATTATTTTTATTATATTGACCTTCACCCATGCCTGGCTAACAATACAGAAGTTACAACGATGCGGCTCACGTGCACTCATGTTACTGTATCAAATAACATAAAGGTGACCTTTGGTCTGTACAAAGTAACCTGTCTTGGCTGTGTTTTAGTCGACTAGTATTTTGTAAAATACAGTCACATTTCAATTATTATACATTAAGTATGTATAAAGATTATGGTTATTTTTAAATAAGTTTTAAAGTTATTTTTCCTAAACATAGAACAGTAAATAAATAAGTAAAGCAAACAATTATATCTTATTTGTACTTCTTTGCTGCTAGATTTATGTTGATAAGTCTTTAAAAATTTTGCATGTGGAGGATATGAAACAAAATTTTTTTTTAGGTTTTATATATATACTTTTGAATGAATAAAAAATCATAAGTTACTACATCAATACCACAGAATTCTACTATAATTCATCAAACATGGTAACTAAGTATTATTTGGGTCTAAAAAATGAAATTTCAAGCAGACTAAAGCCCTACCTCATTGAAATCTTGATTCAAAAGGAAGAAATGGCAGAAGGAACATTAGAATGGCCAAGAAAACCACTAGGGGGATATTCTGAATGGTTATTCATGTCAAACATGGAAGTAAGTGTATTTAAGGGAGCATTTCCAAAATTGGAAAGAGGCAAGCAGTGTGCCACTGTATGTGATTTATTATGTGAGCAATATCTTAGCAAATAAAAAAGATAATACCTTCTTATTTTATATTCTAGCTTGTCAATATCTGTAATTTGAGTTTCTAATTTGTGTGAAACTACAGACTTAGTATTTTGACTTCACAAACATCTGATTTGAACCAGAGCTGGATTCAACATACCACATTACACACAAAAATTTATGTTTACCTGTGTCTTTTTAATATTTACTTTTAAACTAACAAACTGAGTAATGTATAGTTATAAAATTTGAATTATAATCTACAGTTTGATACCAAACTTAATGACATAAATTCATGAAATAGTAGTTCAATAAAGGAATGCGAGTCAAGAAACAAGATGACATGGCCTTTCACCTATGACCCATAACAAAAGGGTTAAACGACTTTAGAAAACATTTTACTGGCCATTCTATCTAATTAATTGTTCAGTGCTGTAAAAGATGATATATAGACTTTGGTTTTAAATGATACTTTTTGGGCTAAAAATCATCAACTATTTTCCTGAACAAGTTGATTTTTTGTTTAGAATCTAAAATAGAACAATGTTCAAATGAAAAAGCAACAAATTAATCTTGAAATCTTAAACTTTACTTGATTACTATTAATTAGGTAATTTTGAAATACAGATTGGGCATATCTAATGCTATCTTTGGCAGCAATCATATACATCTTGAATAACACATCATGTATGACAGGTTTTCATTCAAAAGTGGAGATAGAAATTGGTACTTAAAACCACTGACTAATTTTTGGAGCCATGTCAATTCACATAAATAATAAAGTATTTAGATAAACCAGGAATTTATCTTGTTCATACATATTAAACCCTTTTGCTACTACCTCTGTGGATTACACCAACCACGAGACCCTAAAGTAACCATCAGTTTCCATACTACATCTTTTAAAATGTTTTGTGCATCTTCATACAATTTCTCAAGATTTTTAGTAAACATATTACGAGTCGTGTGTATAGATAAAAAAATCAGAATTTTTAATCAAGTATTTTTACTAAAAAATTTGTTTGTGAATATGTGGTGTCAGAGTGATTTACAATTTAAGATTAAAAATCCTTTCCTTCATCCCAAAATTATTAAATTTCACTTGCATAATGTGTAAAACTTTATATTTTGTTATTTTCTCTACCCTAACTCCATACACATTTGGTCAATTTGGCTGACAGCGTAACCATTATAAAAAAAAAAAAAGATTATTTTAGTATTACGCACCAAGTTCCAAATATTGTTCCTGAGAGTTTTTACTTCTAACTTCCAAAGAAATGGATCACTGCTCCTGCTAATGGACTGTTTACATGACACCATAAATAGCAAAAAAAGCATGTAAGGTAACAATAAGCTGATTATTCCCAGAGAAATCATTATCACGGCTCCATGAATTGCCTAACATAATAAGTAGGAGAAGATGTTTAATAATAAATAAATACATTGATATCTCAGCAAATCAAAAAGATAATACAAAAGGACATGCCATGTGACACACAAAAAGGATACTTAGCATTTTGTTTTTAATATTTTCTTTTCACTTAAGAAATTAAAACATACATTAAAATTTGAATTGCAAACTACATTTTCATGCCAATGTTATTGACATACATTGATAATAAAGTTTATTAATTAAATTTTGAAAATAACTAAAGCATCATGAGATGCAATCTTTGACTCGTCCACAGTGAGAGAGTTGAAATTACTATTTTTTTCAAGTAAAAGATCAGAAGCGAACATTCAACACTAGGTTTTTTTACTCTTCAGTCCGCCCGTCCGCATTTTCATCATTTCTCAAATATTTATTAAGAAATCACAAACTTGTAATTTGAAATGAATAAGATATTTAATGGTACCTTTTCTTTTCATGTTTTCTTAACTAACCAAGTAACTACAGCTGTTCCAATCTGGAAAAAAAAAGAGATACAAAATAATGACTCCAAAGTGCACATAAAATGCACTTGTCTTTAATAAAACTACATGATATATTAGTGACAGTGATTCAATTATTGAAAGTCTTTGGAGGGCATTTTATCTCATCATTTGATAAAAGTTGCAAAATTTTGATGACTAAACTAGGGTTACTTCAAGACTTAAAAATTATCACCCAAATGGGTAGATTAATTTTTCTGTTTGGAAAAGTTCTAAATTCAACTTATGCTTGTTTGTACAAGCAACAAGCAAGATTTGAAAACCTTTGGCAGAAACTATATAAACCCTAAGTAACAAACTATGTATTATAATTCTTCATTTTATTTGAAAAATATAAATAATTTAAATAAATCATGAATTTAACTTGTTTATACAGGCTTAACTTACATAACTACTTTACAGGCACATTGTGCTTATATATATTAAAATACACACTGATACTAGCCCTGATAATTATAACTGTTACCAAGACTATTCAGCTATAACTAAGATTTTACCTTTCATTGTGCCAAAAATGTCAGATTATGTGTTTAATTTTAAGACTTAACTAACTTTTTTTTTACTATAAAAGATCAGAAGCGAACATTCAACACTAAGCTTTATGGCTCTTCAGTCCGCCCGTCCGCATTTTTCATCATTTCTAAAATACTTATTAAAAAAAAATTACAAACTTATAATTTGAACCGAATAAGACATTTACCATTACACTTTCTTCTCACTTTTCTCAACTAACAAAGTAGCTATAGTTGTGCCAATCTGGAAAAAACAAAACAAAATAATGACTCCTAAGTACACATAAAACACACCTATCTTTATTAGAACTAAACATATATGAAATACTAGTGACAAATTGATTCACATTACTTCAATGTCTTGGAAGACATTTTACTGCTCATTTCATTCAATTATTTGCTAAATGCTGTAAAACACAATGACATCTAAACAAAACAAGTTACTTCAGGGATAACATTTATCCCCAAAGCCCCTTTGACACAAAATACTTTTTTTAAAATTTGAAAATAAAATAACACTTGTTTTGACAACAAATTTAGCTTGAAATCTTGATACTTAACATCATAAGGTATTTTTAAAAACAGCACAGAGGAGAATGAGAAGAAACTAGGTCTTACCCTACACTACCTTTGGCAGTAACTACATAAACCTTAAGTATTATAAGTTTTCATTCAAAATAGTTTTAACTAGTAAAGAGACAGAAATTGGCACTTAGAAACTACTTACTGAAACTTTGAGGTCACAGCAGGATTCACAACCAATAAATAACAAGGTTTAACTTTTAAGTAAAATATAACATACCTTTACCCTATTGATACACATTTCTTTAATAACTTTTTTTACAGTAAAAGATCAAAAGCAAACAGTTACCATTAAACTTTACAGCCTTTCAGTGTGACCACCAACAATGTCATCACTTCTCAAATATTTATGAGAAATTCACACTTGTAATTTGAAATGAGTATGATATTAATTAGTACCTTCTCACTTTTTCTCAAATAAAACAGCTATAGCTATACCAAACCGTAGAAATAAAAAAAATGACCAATTCTTAGAACATTTTACTTCCCACTTCATCTAATTACTTGTAGATGTAAAATTCAGAAGACATCTAAACCAAGTTAGGGATACTTTAGGACTAAAAACCCCTTGGGGACAAGTATATTTTTTTTGTTTGGAAAAAGTACTAAAGCAAAACAATTATTGTTTGTACAAGCAACAAGCTAGACAAGAACTTGATACTTAATTGATTAACATTAATGTGGTATTTCAAAAATACGTCACGAGAAAAAATATTGACCGAAACCCTTATCTCGTCAGTTCACATATTACCCTACCTATGGCAGCAACTACATAAACCTTAAAACAAACTGTATTGTAATTCTTCATTCAAAATGGCTTACACACATACAAAGATAGAAATTGATATTTTGGAGTAACAATAAGCACATACAAATAATAACGTTAATTTTCAGTAAAATATAAATAATTTACATACACCATGAATGAACCTTTTTCACAAATATTTTTAATTACATTGTTTACAGCAAAAGATCAGAAGCGAACATTCAACACTAAGCTTTATGGCTCTTCAGTCCGCCCGTCCGCATTTTCATCATTTCTCAAATATTTATTAAGAAATCACAAACTTATAATTTGAAATGAATAAGATATTTAATAGTACCTTTTCTTTTCATGATTTCTCAACTAACCAAGAAACCACAGCTATACCAATCTGGAAAAAAAAAAAAAGAGATACAAAAGTGCACATAAAATGCACTTGTCTTTAATAAAACTACATGATATATTAGTGACAGTGATTCAATTATTGAAAAGTCTTTGGAGGGCATTTTATCTAATTATTTGATAAAAGTTGCAAAATTTTGATGACTAAACTAGGATTACTTCAAGACTTAAAAATTATCACCCAAACGGGTAGATTAATTTTTCTGTTTGGAAAAGTTCTAAATTCAACTTATACTTGTTTGTACAAGCAACAAGCAAGATTTGAAAACCTTTGTCAGAAACTATATAAACCCTAAGTAACAAACTATGTATTATAATTTTAATACTTTATTTTTTTATTACTATAAAAGATCAGAAGCGAACATTCAACACTAAGCGTTATGGCTCTTCAGTCCGCCCGTCCGCATTTTCATCATTTCTAAAATATTTATTAAAAAAAAAAAAAAAACTTATAATTTGAACTGAACCAGTACCTCTTCTTCTCACCTTTTCTCAACTAATGGAGTAGCCATAGTGGTATCAATCTGGAAAAATGAAATACACAATAACTCTAAAGTGCACATAAAACACACACTCATCTTTATTAAAACTGCACAATATATGAGGAATAAAATGATTTACATCATTTCAGTGTTTTACTTCCCATTTCATATAATTATGTGCCAGACATCTTTAATAGTTAAGGACATTCTAAGAACTTAAAAATTATCTCCCAAGCCTCTCTGGGGACAAGTAGAGTCAGCAACTGTATATACCTTAAGTAAAACATTACATATTCATTCAAAATAAACTTTGTACGCATACAAGGATAGACACCGGCACTTAAAAACCCCTGAATGAACTTTGGAGTTATGGCAGTACACACAAATAATGTATAACAAGGTTTAACTTTAGTGAAACAAAGAATTTAGATAAAACATTAATTCACCTGGTTCAGACTTAAATAACTTTTTTTTTGCAGTAAAAGATCAGAAGCGAACATTCAACACTAAGCTTTACAGCTCTCAGTCCGCCCGTCCGCACTTTCATCATTTCTAAAACATTTATTAAGAAATCACATTCATAATTTGAACTGAATAAGATATTTACCAGTATCTTTTTTTCTTTTTCTCTCGACTAACAAAGTAGCAATAGCTATGACAATCTGGAAAAGAAATATAAACTCAATGACTTCAAAATGCACATAAAACACATTGAAGACATTATTAAACATTACACACGAGTTATTAGTGATAAAATGATCCACACTACTTAACTCTTTCAACCCAGGCTCAGTCCCTCGGTCCGACTTTGTAACCATTTTGCACTTGTTATAGTTTTCATGCTATAACTTTTAAATTAGTAAGAAAATGTTAATGAAATTTGGCAGTTTATCAGTAAACATTACGATGCTTTCATACGCAAAGTATCTAATTTTTTTATACATTAAGTTTTAAGGTTTATAATGCAATGTTTATCTCAGTCTTTTTTTTCCTTTTTGGATGTTGCCTAGCTATCATGCAAAGTAATATTCATTTTAAAATTAAAAATACTTTTATAAGATCAGAAGCGAACATTCATCACTAAGCTTTATGGCTCTTCAGTCCGGCTGTCCGCGTCTTCATCATTTCCAAATATTTATCAATTTGAGCTGTATAAAATATTCACCATTACGATTTATTCTGTCAACTAAGGAAGTAGCTACAGCTGTGCCAATCTGACAAAAGAAATACAAAAGCAACAATTCCAAAATGCAAATAAAACACACTGAATACTATAAAAAATGACACTAATATATAACTTACGAATGAGTAAATAGTTCATATTTTTTAAATACCTTAGGTGAACATTTTACTACCTTTTCCATCTAATCAGTTTTTTTGGTGTTTTAAGAGGTGAAGCTGATAATAAACTAGAGTTGGCCCTATATACTGGTACTTTAAAGGAAGTTCATACACAACTTCAAGTTTTGTAAGAAGCAAACACATTCAGTTGGTTAAATTTTATAACTCAATTTCACAAAAAGTTAAGATTTAGTTCTTTTTTCAGTGAGATTGTTTTAACACTCTCCAGAAGGGTCACAGGTCAAATGCCTTGTCATAGCATTTGTTGACTCACATTCAAAATTTTATTGAACTATTTCATGAATTTATGTCAACAAGTTCGGTATCAAACTGTAGATTATATTTAAATTTTGGTATTATACATTATTTAATTTCTTAATTTAAAAGTAAATATTAAAAAACACATATAAACATTGATTTTTGTGTGTCATGTGGTATGTTGAATGCAGAATTTGTTCAAATTAGATGTTTGTGATGTCAAAATACTAAGTCTATACTTTCATTCGAATTAGGAACTCAAATTACTGATGCTAACAAGTTAGATTATAAAACAAGAACCTTTTATCCTTTCTATTTGCTGAGACATCAGTCATGTACTGAATCAAACACAGTGGCCCCTCCCACCTTTTTCCATTTTTGGAAATGGTCCCATAATAACATTTACTTCAATATATGACATGCGAATAACCAATCAACAGTATATACAAAATTTAAAAAAAAATTGCTTCATATTCTTCACATGCAAAAATTTGTAAAGACTTAACAACCTTTGGCAAGCAGCAACCGAGTCCAAAGGTCTAACAAGAAGAGATAAGTGTTTGCTTTACTTTATTATTTACTGTTCTATGTTTTATGAGTAACAAGTTTAAGAACTTATTTCTAAATAGTAATTATCTATGTACCTATATAACATATAATAATGGAAATGTGACTATTTTACAAAATACTAGTCTACTAAAACAGTCAAGTCAGGTCACTCTTATATTACTGGATACAGCAACATGAGAGCACGTGTGCCACATCATTGTAACTTCTGTATTGTTAACCAGGCATGGCTGAAAGGTCAATATAATAAAAAATAATAAATATATATATATAAATGTATAATGTTATGAGATTTAGGCTATTTAGTCTCAATATTTATGTTCTCGTGTTATAATTTTAGAATGAAGAAGGCATAATTTATATTTCCTAATTTTTTAAGGTGGTTACGAGATTGGTCATACAGAGATTCATTAGTGAAAATAACAGATAAAATATAAAGCATTTTTCTTAAGAAAAGTATTATAACTATCTGGACAGTATACAGATTTCGCATGTGAAGGTTGAAAATTTTCTGATTCATAAAAGTATTTTTAATATTAAAATGAAAATTACTTTGCAGGTTGAATAGACAACATG